TTTTTCAATACGGGCTTTTTTGGCCCGAGCCGAGCCGAGCTGGCTCAACTCAAAAAAATAAAGCTCGACCCGAGCCGGCTCGTGTTTTGGTGTCTTTTTTCTTCTTTTTTTAAAAAAAAAATTCTCTTAATTGCTACCCAACAGGCAGCTTTATAATTAAAGCTGCCTGTTGGCAGCTATAGACTGCTACCTCAACAGGCAACTAGAGTGCTGCCGAACTGGCAGCAAGTTAACTGCTGCCAACAGGCAGCTATAAAGCTGCTGCCTCAACAGTCAGCTATAAGATGACTGTTGAGGTAGCACAATATAGGTAGGCAGGCCTTTTTTTTATTTTTTGTTATTTTTTTTAAAATTAAACGGGCCAGCCCGTCAATTCACTGGCCGGCCGGGGCTCGAGCGGATGCCCCCATTTTGGGGCTCGGCCCGAGCTTTGGCTCGATTGGTCCGAGCCATGAGCCGGGCCGGCTCAGGCTTTTCCCGAGCAGAGCAACGGGCCGCCCGAGTCACCGAGCCTTTTTGACATCCCTACTGCCAACTATGCAAAATGTCTATTTTGGTCCTTGAACTTTTATTTTTCATTTTTTTAGTCTTTTTGCAATTCCTTCTTCTTCCAATCATCTTGTATCGCTTTCAAGTTCATACTTAGCATATTTGTATTCCCGGGTTGCCTTTTAGTTCAACTTTTAAATATTTGCATCCTTAGTCCCTAAACTATCACTTTGCTCCATTTTAGTCATTTTGGGCTCTTTTCTCCTGAATTCCACCATTTCCATAGAAACACCTACATTGCATGAATTCAACGAGATTAAGTCACAATTCAACATTTTGCTCGTAATTAAGTCATGTTTGTGATCTAAATAAGTATATAAAAACACACTTATCAAATAAAATCATTCAGTATCGATCAGTATCCCAAAACAATAGAAATTGATAAGAATCGATCTAGCGAGCATTTATTCACGTTCAAAATCTGTCCCTGTATTCAATAGGTAAATGAGTTCACTTGGGTATTTTTTTAGAGAACGATTTAAATCTTAGCTCTGTATTTCGGAACACGTTAATTTTGTGTTCATATCACAAAAGGACTATTTAATGAAGTGCGAGTTGCGAGTGAGAAAACAATCAGAAGGGCAAAAAAATATTTCGCCATAATCTAATTATTCAACCTCGAACGAGGATAATACTTATAGATGACGAGTCAAAAGGATATAAACTACAAAAAATTATTTAATTAGTTTGTGTGATTTTAATATGGTATATAAGTTCAGTTTCTTGTTCGTAGTGGAATAAGCGATAACTAATAATTGTACCGTTAGCCTCGAATTGACTTGGTTGGTGTTGTTATATTTAATCAGTAGTGTATGGAGTGGAATCGGATTCTCATATACCATATTTGTGTTTTAGACACCGGATTTACACTTATCGTATTTGGCAATTGCTTACCGTATATGGCAGTGCAACTCACTGTATTTGGCAGTGCAACTCACCGTATTTGACAGTGTAACTCACCATATATGACAGCTTACTGTATTTGCAGGCGAAACTCACCATATTTGCACAAAAAATTTCATAGTGTTTTATTCATACACTAACTAAAATAACACCAAATTTTTTTTCACTTATAAATAAAAATACTGTATATGTGAAATCTATTTTTCACACATATAACGAATTAGAAAAAATAGTTTATTTTATTTATCTATTTCTAACATAAATTTCAAGTATGTTGCAAATTAAATAAAGAAATCTGCAAAATTACAAACTAAATAAATAGTAGATATAATTTCAACCCGAGGCCTGTGTAAACACAGTTTCCTTAAGACAAATTCGTCCCCTCACCATGGTGTTAGAGGTTTAGTCTGAGCGCCTGTCTCCCAGGATACAACGGTAACCAGTAGAATTCGAGCACCGCGATTCTACTCCGGCGAACTGGGCGAGCGTTCGAACAATATCACTTTACTGGAATGAGACGGAACAAAACAGAAAACAGGAAGGAAGTTTGAACAATATCACCTTATTGGAATGAGACGGAACAAAACAGAAAATAGGAAAAAAATTGCAAACGAAAATTTTCAGTGTATGAATTGTTGGAAATTGAGTGGATTGTATAGACTGAATTTGACCCTTAGTTTTTTGGATTAACCATTGCAGTTTCTGGAGTTACATTTCGATTTTGACCATTGGAGTTTTAGGAGTTTCAAATACTCAAAAGTCATTTGGAAAACCACCAAAAAAATTGTAAAATGCGGACAATCCAAACTGGCAAGTTTTTGCTCTGTTCGGTCCGATATTCGTGTGCGCAGGTCGCGCTCGCACTCAAGTTCAAGGTTCGAAGGCTATTTTCGTCCATGATTTGCACCCCCTGTGCGCGCACGTAGAGAGATCCTCTATGCTACACATGATCACACCATTCCAATGCCTAAAGTGGTTTTGGTTTCTATATTTTTCCTATGTGGACAAAGTTTTCCCACCAACATAGAACATCTTCAATGGTCCACTTTAGACTCCAATTTCTCATTCACCCAATCTTTATTTTTGGCAAATATATACATGACTTCGATGTTCTCGCGGAGGAGAACTCATATCAACTTTGATATTCCAAATTGGACCAATGGGTCCCACCGAAAATTGTGCCAAAAGTGAGCCAATTCACTCATTTTTCCAACAATCCCCTATATGAATGAAAATTGGGAGAGACACGAAACGTGAGACATAAGACTTGATGATAAAGTTCAACGGTTGAAGCCTACATAGGATAGGTAGGTATTACCCTTTGAACCTTCCCTTATGAAAGCATATTTACTTTACTGGTTGACCAGTAGACGTGATGTCTTTGAACTGTTCCACCATTTGTGTAAACGATGATATACTTCACACAGGATTCTTCCTAACAAACTTCAGTTCTCATTATTATGTTTGTTTTGGCCATGAACATATGCCTGGTTCTGTGAGAGTCTCTAAGAATTGATCCCCACACAATTCTCTTAGAAGCGGCCCCACTTCTTTCTCACATAGGTGATATCTTATTACAAGTAACCTGCATTACTTGGCTCAATTTTCGACGCGTAAAAATCATTAAAAGCCTATTGCTTAACCTTCATCCTTACGGGCATCACTGTTATATCATAGGAATGAACAGGAGGTGACACCCTCACAGTGATTTTATCAAGTTTTTACAGTTAGGTTGTCCCTTTGAACCTAGATCTTGGGATCTCCAGTCAACTAGGTTGGTTTTCCTTTGTAATGACTTATTCTTTCAAGGGCTTAAGTCCCATTTATTTCGATGATTTTTCAACTAACTCTCTATTTAACCATTTGGTTAGCGGATCCGCAATGTTATCCTTTGACCTAACATAGTCAATTGTGATAACTCCAGTTGAGAGTAGTTGTCTAATGATATTGTGTCTACAACGTATATGTCTAGACTTACCATTGTACATGTTACCCTGTGCCCTTCCTATTACTGATTGACTGTCACAATATATGCAAATTGTAGGTACAGGTTTGAACCATCTTGGAATATCTTCTAAGAAGTTGCGCAACCATTCGACCTCTTCACTATATTTATCTAGGGCTATAAACTCAGATTCCATTATAGATCTGGCTATAACCGTTTGCTTAGAGGATTTCCATGAGATGGCAGCACCTTCCAAAGTGAACACATATCCACTGGTGGACTTTGAGTCTTTTATATTAGATATCCAATTAGCATCACTGTATCCTTCAATGACCGCTGGATGTCTGGTGTAGTGTATTCCATAGTCACGAGTATATCTTAAGTACCTCAATACTTTTACTATATCTTTCCAGTGATCATTTCCCGGATTACACATATATCTACTCAATTTACTGACTGTGTAGGCTATGTCTGGTCTTGTACAACTCATTAAGTACATTAGACTTCCAATAACTTTCGAGTATTCTACTTGAGAGACACTTTCACTTCTGTTTTTAGAAAGATGTTGACTCGTATCTATCGGTATTCTAGCCAAGCGAGTATCATCCTTGTTGAATTTTTCCACATTTTGTCCACATAATGTAAATGGCTTAGAACAAACCCATCTGATGTTCTTCAGATTTTAACTCCAAGTATAACATTAGCTAAACCCATGTCTTTCATATCAAATCTCGAATTTAATATATTTTTAGTGGATTCAATCATCTTATTGTTACTACCAACAATAAGCATGTCGTCAACGTAAAGACATAAAATGACATAGTCATCTTTAGTGTCTTTGACGTAAACACATTTGTCACATTCATTAATTTCAAATCCACTCTCTATCATAACATTGTCAAATTTTTCATGCCATTGTTTTGGTGCTTGTTTCAAGCGTATAGTGACTTCACCAGTTTACATACTTTCTTTTCCTGTCCTGGTGACCAAAACCCTTCGGGTTGTTTCATGTAAATTTATTCTTCTAAATCTCCATTTAGAAAAGTTGTTTTAACATCCATTTGATGTACTTCTAGATTTCGCAAAGCAGCAATCGCAAGTATCATCTTAATAGATGTTATTCTCATCACTGGAGAATACGTATCAAAGTAATCAAGGCCTTCCCTTTGTTTATAACCTTTTATTACTAATCTGGTCTTGTACTTTTCGATAGTTCCATCTGCTTTCATTTTCCTTTTGAAAATCCATTTGTAGCCTAGTGGTTTGCATCCAGGAGGAAGATTCACTAGCTCCCATGTATGATTTTGCAGTATGGAATCTATTTCACGTTTATTGACATCTTTCCATTGAGGTCCTTCCAAGGAATTCACAGCTTTTTGATAGCTTTGAGATTCGATTTCTAGCATATAGGTCAGAAAATCAGGACCATAAGAGCTTTCTGTCCTTTCCTGTTTGCTGCGTCTAACCTCAGTCTCCTCTTCTAATTCTTCATCCTGACTATTTTCAGTCATTGTCTCATATGTTCGTTTAGAGGAGCTGGCTTCCTCTTTGGACTTGTATGGAAATACTTCTTCAAAGAATGAAGCATTCCTCGATTCCATTATTATGTTTTTGTGTATGTCTGGAATTTTTGAATCATACATAAGAAATCAATAAGCACTGCTATTACGTGCATAGCCAATGAAGATGCAATCTATAGTTTTCGGACCTATCATTACCTTCTTTGGTGTTGGAACAGCCACTTTTGCAAGACACCCCCACACTCGCAAGTGTTTATAGGTAGACTTTCTTTCTTTTCATAACTCATAAGGGATCTTTTCCGATTTCTTTCGTGACACCTTATTTAAAAGGTAATTTGCTGATAACACAGCTTCTCCCCACATGTTCTGAGATAACACAGAACTTACTAGCATTGCATTTATCAATTCTTTTAAGGTGTGATTTTTTCGTTCAGCTACACCGTTTTGTTGCGGTGAATAAGATGCGGTGGTTTCATGTATGATTCTGTGTTGTGCACAGAAATCAGCAAACGGTACTCCATACTCACCACCTCAATCACTCCGTAGTACCTTAATTTTCTTATTAAGTTGAGTTTCAACTTCATTCTTATAGAGAACAAATTTCTCTATAGCTTCATCCTTGCTTTTAAGCAGATACACAGAACAGTATTTTGTGCCATCGTCGACAAAATTAATAAAATACTTGTTGCCACCTCTTGTTTGTACAAGTTTTAAGTCACAAACATCACTGTGAATTAAACCAAGTGGTTCTGTGTTCCGTTCAACTGACTTAAAGGATGACCTTGTCAATTTTGTCTCAACACAAGTTTCACACTTATGTTCGGAATCATTATGGTACTTGGGTATGCTATTCAAATTAACTAATCTACGTAAAGTATCATAATTAACATGTCCTAGTCTACCATGCCACAAACTGGAAGACTCAAGTAAAAAAGCAGAAAAATTTGCTTTATTCATTTTTGGTTTCACAATCATTGCATTCAACTTAAACATACTGTCGGAAACATAACATTTTCCGACAAACATTCCACTTTTTGATAGAATGACTTTGTCTGACTCAAATATAATGCGAAAACCATGCTTATTCAAAAGCGACCCGAACACTAAATTCTTACGAATTTTCGGCACATATATCACATTGTTGAGAGTCAGCTCTTTTCCCGAGGTCATCTTCAGAACCACCTTTTCTTGACCTTTGATTTCAGAAGTTGCTGAATTTTCATAAACAACTTCTCTCCATTCTCAATTGCTTCGAACGTAGTAAATAGCTCCTTATCAGAGCACACATGCCTCGTAGCACCGGTGTCAATCCACCACTCTTTAGGGTTTAAACCCATCATGTTCACTTCAGAAATGACGACTAAGAGATTCAGCTCCGACACATCTTGTGCCATGTAATCAACCACATTTGCTTCTTTCTTCTTCTTTGGCAATCCGCACTCCGAAGACTTGTGACCCACTCTGTCACAATTGAAGCATTTTTCTTAAAATTTCTTCTTAGAAATTCCACATTTTGGTCTGTGCTTGGTCTTTTTTCTACTGGATGGCCCAAACTTATTTTTGTAACTCTTACTACTTTGACCATCTCCACAACATTGACTTTAGCAACACCAGGATTGAACCACTTCTTTTCTGAACTTTTGTTGTCTTTTTCAATTCGAAGTTTAATAAGGTCTTCAATGTTCATTTCCTTTCGTTTGTGTTTCAAATAGTTTTTGAAATCTTTCCATGCAAGGGGCAATTTTTCAATAATTGCTACCACTTGAAAGGTTTCACTCAACACCATTCCTTCGGCATGAATTTCGTGAAAAATCACTTGAAATTCTTGCACTTGACTGATAACAGTTTTAGAGTCCACCATCTTATAGTCTGGGAATCTGCCGACTATAAACTTTTTAGCCCCGCATTCCCAGTTTTGTATTTTCGGTCTAAAGACTCCCACAACTCCTTAGCCGTTTTTATCGTGCTCTACACATTGTATAGCTTGTCTGCTAAACTATTCATAATGTAGTTTTGGCATAAAAAGTCCGAATGCTTCCAAGTATCAAGTGCACTGACTGCTTGAATATCTCATTTTCCTTCTTTGAGTATAGGAGCAATCTCAGTCAAGAATCTCACAAGATTCAAGGTGGTCAGGTAAAACAACATTTTCTGCTGCCACCTCTTGAAATTCAAGCTATTGAATTTCTCTGATTTCTCTCCATGATTAACCGGAACAGTAACCGTTTGGCCAGTTGTTGGAGCCACAGTTTGACTCACAACACGACTAGGCAAGTTAGCCATAACAAAGCTTGGCCCTTGAGCCCTAGTAGAGCCCACAACTTCATTTCCAGCAGGAACAGTTTGGGTCACATCCATGTTGGTTGGTTCGGCAGCCATTTCTGAAAATGAAACAGTTATTAGTCTCCAATAAACAAAAAACTTGTTTACTACCAATACGTATTAAGAAGATTTGTCTTAAGTTTGTTGTTATATTTAATCGGTAGTGTATGGAGTGGAATCGGGTTCTCATATACCATATTTGTGTTTTAGATACCGGATTCACTCTTACCGTATTTGGCAGTGCAACTCACCGTATTTGGTAGTGCAACTCATCGTATTTGCAACTCACCGTATTTGACAGTGTAACTCACCGTATATGGCAGCTTACTGTATTTGCAAGCGAAACTCGCCGTATTTGCATAAAAATTTGCATAAAATATTTTATTCATACGCTAACTAAAATAACACCAATTTTTTTCACTTATAAATAGAAATACCGTATATGTGAAATCTATTTTTCACACATATAACGAATTAGAAAAAATAGTTTATTTTATTTATCTATTTCTAATATAAATGTAGAACCCCAAATAATTCTAGACACCTTAGTGGTACTAAGACATGAATATTGGATTACTAAAGTATACTTCAGATTTTAGTCTCATTTGAGACCCATTTTTAACATAGGAAACATTCAATTTGAAAAATGATATCTAAATAAAAGTTGTAACTCTTTGAGTTAGCTTTCCAACGCACTTTGAATTACCTCAATCGAATATCGGGAGAAGAAGTTATGATAGAAATACTGAAAGTTGTGCAGTGTCAACCAGACTACAACCGGTCGACCGAAACTGCCTGAAATGAAAATTCTCATTTTTCTCTAGAATTTAAATATTTATTTTCATCAATTATTTTCTCAAAGGGCCACCCACGTTTTTGGCAATAAAAACCCCACTAAATTGAAGCATTTAACCTTAAACTTAAATGACACCCATGTTTTCTCTCTTAAATGAAATTTGACCCTTCATTTGCTTTAAGTTATGGGATATTTACCTATAAATAGAGACCTTATTCAACTATTTTTTTTCTCACACCAAAAGCAAGAGCTTTTACATACTAAAGAAAGAGTTTTCAAGAGAGAAAAAGAAAGGGAGGAAAACTATTTTTCCTAGAAGTTTAAGAAGTGTTTTCAAACATTTTTCATAGAAGTTTTGGGTACTATCAAGGAGTGTCTTCAAGTATCAATTCTCAACGGTTTTCAAACATCCAAGGAGTGCATTTCTTTCAACGTCCAAGTTTCATCGAAATTTTCAATCTAAGTTTTCAAAGTTTCAAAAGCTGGTAGGTAGAGGTGCAATGTGTTTAATCGTGTTAAGTTATAAGTTTCGATTCATGTTAATGTTTGTATGTCAAATGGTACTCCGGTACGGCATATCCCTCTATATTAATGGTTGTATGTCAAATGGTACTCCGGTACGGCATACCCCTATATGTTGAAGAAATGTTCGTATGTCAAATGGTGCCTTCGGGTACGACATACCCCTTCATGTCAAATGATACCTCCGGGTACGATATGTATGAAAAGTTATGAAGTTAATGTTTTGAAATGTATAGCTTGATCATGAATGCACCTATGACACCTATTGAATTTTTCAACTCACGGGTTTAATCCCATCTCTACAGATTGAATGAATTCTATCTCGGGCATGGATGGAGGAGAAGATGGAGAGTGATGCAACGAGTCCATGGAAATTCGGTGAATAAGTGATTTGGATTTATTTTTATGAAATGTTCTCCAATGTTATTTCTTTAAAGTTTTGAATAGCGCAGAATGCGAGAACAAGTTATGTTTTCTTCAAATAAATTACATTTTGTTGTTTTGAAAAATGATTCAGTGTTTTTGTTTAAAGTATTTGAAGTATTGTTATTTAAATTATTATCCGAAAATGTAAGCTTCCGTTAAAACGTATACACTTGTTACTAAACCACCGGTTAAGCTAAGTAAAGTAAGTAGCATTCAGGTCCACTAGGAGTCGGGGCGTTACAATAAATTTCAAGTATGTTGCAAATTAAATAAAGAAATCTGCAAAATTGTAAACTAAATAAATAGCAGATATAATTTCAACCCGAGACTTGTGTAAACACAGTTTCCTTAAGACAATCGCCCCCTCACCGTGGTGCTAGAGGTTTAGTTCGAGCGCCTGTCTCCCAGGATACAACGATAACCAGTAGAATCCGAACACTGCAATTCTACTCCGACGAACTGGGTGAGCGTTCGAACAATATCACCTTATTGGTATGAGACAGAACAAAACAGAAAACGGGAAGGAAATTGCAGACGAAAATTTTCAGTATATGAACTGCTGGAACTTGAGTGGATTATATAGACTGAATTTGACCCTTAGTTTTCTGCATTAATCATTGCAGTTTCTAGAGTTATATTTCAGTTTCGACCATTGGAGTTTTAGGAATTTCGGACACTCAAAAGGTCATTTGGAAAATCACAAAAAAAAAATTGCAAAACGCGGACAATCCAAACTGGTCAGTTTTTGCTCCGTTCGGCCCAACATTCTGTGCGCCCGCACTCAAGTTCAAGGTCCGAACGCTATTTCTGTCCGTAATTTGCACCCCCCTACACGCGCACGTGGAGGGAGCATCTATGCTACACAAGAGCACACCATTCCAATGCATAGCCATATATAAAGTGGTTTTGGTTTCCATATTTTTCCTATGTGGGACAAAGTTTTCCCACCAACATAGATAATTTCCAATGGTCTACTTTAGACTCCAATTTCTCATTCACCCGAACTTCATTTTTAGCAAATAAATACCTGACTTAGATGTTCTCGCGGAGGAGAACTCATATCAATTTTGATATTCCAAATTGGACCAATGGGTCCCACCGAAAATTGTGTCAAAAGTGAGTCGATTCACTCATTTTTCCAACAGTTGGTTATAATTTTAATAATTATAGTAAAAGTGCTGGATTAAAATGAACCAGTGTAGCAATAATTCATGGACTGTATCTGCAAGAATGACAAATAGAGTTAGAGATTGACTAGAATTAGGGATGAAGTTTATGACCATAAATAGAGCCAAGGGACGGCCTAGAGCAATATTCTAGATGCTCTGCGTGTCCACGGTGTTGAGGAAAACAGAACAAATTGTTCTCTTGTTTTCTTGCTATGTTCCTTTATATTGGAGTTCTTGTTTTTTTGAGATATCCACACACCAACAGCGGTTTATACTTCGAAAAAATATCAAAGAAGATCCGAGTTTTGGAAGCTTGAGGATTGAAGATTACAATCAAGGTTCGAGTTCAACATTCAAGAACGGAGTTGAAATTAGTTGTTGTCCAAATAATTGATTCAAGATTTAAAGTTTGAAATCAATTTGCTTTACATATTCAATATTGCATTTTACTTTGTCATAAATCTTATTTTTTAAACCCGAAAGTGCAAAATTATGTATTGACTGGTTGGGGAAAGAAAACTCTGATGATCTCACAGGGATCACGGATCAGCCTTGTGACAATAGATGTTGTATGTTTTTACTGAAATTGGATCTTGATTCCAAATTAGAGATTTGAATGCATGATCATCCTAAACTTAATTGACAATATTTGTTCACCGTTTTGAGATTTGAATAAAGGTTATACACTTAAATTGATGTCCATAATGAACCTCCTAAAGGGGCTACCATTTTTTAGGTTGACAGTCGAAGAACTGATACTGGTTTTTTAGAGATACGCAAGCATCCGCTACAAATATGAAATTTGGGTGGAAAGAAAACGAATTTCAGGGAATTGAATTGCCTAGAAATTAGAATTATTGTGTTTGATTGGTATAATTTTTCACGTGAAAAATGTTGAAATAAAAGTATTTTTTGGTGTTCGTTTGATTTTGTTTTACATGAAAATTGTCAATTAAAGGGATAGATTTTACTAGTATTTGGGATGAAATTTGTTTCCATTGCAAAAAAATAATAAAAAATCAAAAAAATCATCTATATTTTGGAGTTCGTTTGACTTTGTTTTACATGAAAATTGCTAATTAAATTTTTTTTTTGGGCCTAGAATTCCAATTCTTACTAAACCCATAAGAATTAGAATTCCATGAAAACAAGGAAAATTGGCGTGTAGGCTGGAAACAAGAAATACCAATTCCATGGTAAATATGTGTCATCAAACAATGATAAAGCTAGAAAGTGGAATTCAAATTCGACTTTCCATGAAATTCATGACCAATCAAACAGGCCCTAAGTGCTATCGCTTCTTTATGTAATTATGCAAACATTAATTACACACTCAATGTAACTTTCACTCAATGTAACTTTCATTCCGGTATTATCAATTTTGGTCAAGAACCCGGATAATGTTGAAAATTATATTGATTGGAAACGTAATCTCATAATCGTGTTGGGTATTCGAAGAAAAATGTCTTATACTGCCCAAGGACATGCTTGATTATATGGGTGACAACTAAGAATGAGAATTTACACTCTCCAACATAAGCGGATGAAACATAGGATGCTGGTTAAAGATCATACCATATTGTTTTGTTTAACTAAGTACGAGGGTTTTAGGAGCTAATATTGAGAGTGACACCCATAGAGACATGGTGCTGAATTCTCTATGTGATCTAATATTTCTGGGCAAATAAATAAATAAAAGAAATATACAATATTTTAATTTGAATTCAAACCCTTCATCTTGATTGCGGCTAGAAGACATATGAATGGAATCCATCCATTTAAACGAACACCCATCGACGGTCACAAAACTGTAACTTATAATTTTCTAGAATTTAAAAATTGCAGCTTCATTTAAAGTAAACCTCTCCACCTTCAACCCCAATTTTACTAATCAAAATCATCCTCAATACTCATTTTTTCCCTCAAATCCTCAATGGCAATTGATCTTCGACCTTGTTTTTATCCAAAGTTCAAATTTGCAAACAACTCCATATAAAGATCAT